TTTTTCTACGAAATGACCCCTGCAGACCCAGCCACCCCAGGAGACTTCGGATCCCAAATGTGTCACCTGTCTTGGGTGATGGCAAACAAATCTTCCTCTTCCTCTTCCACAAACAGGCTCTTCTTGTTGACGGCAACAGCAGCCTTCGTCGCTTCCTTTCTTTGGCTGCCTTCGGAAGCAGATTTGACGGTGGCCGCAGGATTCCAGTGGTCCTGAAAACAAAGAAATAAGTCCTGCCATTATTGCCTTTCAGACTGCGTATCACTTTCCTCAGATTCACAAGGCAAGGGGCGTGGTAGCCCTATATGCATATATTCATTGCAAGACTCCTAGGATTCCCTCCCTAGGAAGAGGCAGGAAAAGGAAAGAAGCCGGTCTGATCCAAGGCTGAACGGCTTCTTGCCACACTGTCAGAGAGGGAAGCGTAAGAACATCAGAAGAGTCCCGCTGGGTCAGACCAATGGCTCCATCTAGTCCACCATCCTGTCTCACAGAGTGGCCAGCCAGTTCCTCTGGAGAACCAACAAGAAGGCATAGAGGCTGAGGTCTTCAGAAGAACATCTAAAGAGTTCTGCTGGATCAGACCAATGGTCCATCTAGTCCACCATCCTGTCTCACACAGTGGCCAGCCAGTTCCTCTGGAGAACCAACAAGAAGGCATAGAGGCTGAGGTCTTCAGAAGAACATCTAAAGAGTTCTGCTGGATCAGCCCAGTGGTCCATCTAGTCCAGCATCCTGTCTCACACAGTGGCCAGCCAGTTCTGCTGGAGGACCAACAAGAAGGCATAGAGGCCGAGGTCTTCAGAAGACCACCAAAAAAGCTCTGCTGGATCAGACCAAAAGTTTATCTAGTCTACCATCCTGTCTCACACAGTGGCCCACAAGTTCCTCTGGATTGTCAGCAACAGGGCCGAGACATTCTCCTGATGTTACCTCCTGGCTCTGGGATTCAGAGGCTTAGTGTCTCTGAATGTGGAGTCTCCCTGTGGCACATGCATGATGAGAAAACAAGAAGAAAAGAATGGTATCCCTTGAGCAGGGCATTTGGCTGCTTCTTTCACAGAAAGGTTACCCATCTCCCATCAAAGGCCTCAGAACTAAGAAAGGGCAAAGGATGAAGCAATGGCCATAAAAATGCACCCAAGACTCCTTGGGCAAGCTCAACCGTCAGCAGGGCAGATATGGGAAGCTAGGTAGCCCCCCACCACCACCACCACCCTGTCCTACACAGTGACCTCTGTCCATAGCAAAGCAGTGTTGCTAACCCAGACATGACCACTGCATTCCCCGGCACCTCAGGAGAAAGATTTCTGAGAGAAGAAGAGATTGGATTTATACCCCGCCCTTCACTACCCGACGGTGTCTCAGAACGGCTTACAAGCTCCATCCCCTTCCCCTCCCCACAACAGACACCCTGTGAGGCAGGTGGGGCTGAGAGAGCTCTGAGAGAACTGTCCTTGAGAGAACAGCTCTGAGAGAACTACGGCTTGCCCAAGGTCATCCAGCAGGTACAAGTGGAGGAGTGGGGAATCAAACCCGGTTCTCCCATATTAGAGTCCGCGCACTTAACCACCACACCATCTCAGCATCTCTGAAGCACAGCAAACTGAAACGTGTGTCTGGCACACGCCGGCTCCAACACCAAACGACTTTAAGCGGAGAGAGCAAAAAACCAGGCCTGAAATGACACCTGCTTCAGCTAGCTGAGAACAGCAAAGCCAGCCATTCATCCATTTGTCACTTTCGGACTTTGTACCTCTTCATCGCTGCTGAAGAGCAGGCGGGACGCTTTCTCCGGAGGCGGTTTGGACGCTTGCGCCTTCACGGGCAAAGACCCAAAGAGTTCCTGAAAGGCACGGAGAGAAGAATTCATTTTGCCATGACACTCGGCAATGTGGGTTTTGTGGGGAAACGGGCATTGGAATATTTTCCAAATTAAAGAGCATCAAAAAAAGGAGGCAAAAGCACACCATGTACGAGCCTGGGCCATGTACAAGCACCCAGGTATGTCCGTGCTTCGTACCCTGTGTTTGGCCCGCCCTAACATGATGACTGGCATCACAACAGCTCTGACAACTAGACAGAGACTATACACGGGGTGGGAAATTTTCCAATGAAAAATACCGTATAGAAGAATCTTTTGGGAAATCTTCTGCCCCATATCACTGACAAAGCAATTACATATACTAGCTTCCTTGTCACCCCCCCCACACACACACGCACAAACACACACCCAAATTGAACGACACATAAGGCAACCATAGGAGGAGGATGAACTCAGTTTGAGGGCAATGGTACCTTTAAGACCACGGCCATCAAACTGTATAAGCTTTTGTGTGCAAGCACACTTCTTCAGATACAGGACTTGCACACAGAAGCTTATGTTGTTGTTCAGTCGCACAGTTGAGTCCGACTCTTCGCAACCCCATGGACCAGATCACGCCAGGCCTTCCGGTCTTCCGCCGTCCTCTGAAGTTGGCTCAATTTCATGTTCGTTCCATCTATGACACTGTCTAACCATCTCATCCTGTGCCATCCCCGTCTTCTTTGACCTTCAATCTTTCCCAGCATCAGGGTCTTCTCCAGTGAGTGCTCCCTTCTCATTGGGTGGCCAAAGAAGCTTATACCCTGAATTAAACTTTTGTTTGTCTTAAAGGTGCCACCGGACTCAAACTTTGTTCTGCTCTATATGGGGTTCCCTTTAAAAAAGGACCACAAACTCCAAAAGGCAGCAGCTTGGGGACAGATGAGGGACCCCCTGGAACAAGCACATTCAACCGGCTTTATATCGAAAGCACTGGCACCCGGCTTGCCTCCAGGTCCAACTCAACAAGCTTGTTCTTGACCTCGGGAGCTGGGTCAGAAGTACCTGGAGGACCACCCTCGACCACGTCGACTTCCTAGAGTCCTCCGACCAGCTGCGGAAACCTACCCTGGCACAAGTATGGCTAGCAGACAGTCAAGGGGGACCATGCTTGAGGCATGCTTGTCCGCAGACTCTAGACTTTCCTGCCTTGAAGGGGGGGGGATTTGTCATCATCGGCCTTCTGACGTCCGTTAGAAACAAATATATTTCAGAAGGCTTTTGACGGGGTTCATTTGAAGACACAAAGCTGCCTTGTACTCAATCAGACCCTTCGTCCGTCAAGGTCAATATAGTCTACTCGGGTTGCGGTCGCACGCGCAAGATAACATGGGAGGGAAGCGAGGCTATTTGCTCCGTTGGAATTTGACCTGCAGTGGCATGATCATACAGTCCCTGGGAGCTGCGGGGGCAGCCCGCCACTGTGTGATCAGACGCAACCGCAGGTGAACTGGGGTTGGGGTTTTTTGCCGCATGTTTCTGGTGCGCTTCAACGGGGGATCGATGATTCGCATCTCCGCACTGAGTGCTCCCTACACAGTGTGTGATGATGTGCATATTGAAACAGGGGGAAAAACAACAGCATGGAGTCGGGATGGCCCGATCAGACCATCCCGATGCCATGGGAGTGCGCTGGCGCGATCACACAGGAAAAAGCCCATTCCTGGCCCATAGCAAACCCGTTTGCTACCGGACTTCCCCTAGTGTCTGTACAGGATTATGCCCTCAGGCCAGTCCAGGGATGAAGGGAATCCTGTACTTTTTTCAGTACTTTACACAACACAAAAGTAAAAAAAAAGTTACTTAACTTATGTAAGTAACTTTTTTACTTTTGTGTTGTGTAAAAAAGTAGTAAAAACTACTACTAGTAGTAGTTAGTAGTAGTAAAAACTACTAGTAAAAAGTAGTAGTAAAAACTACTACTACTACTACTAACTTTCTACTTTTTACTCCGCTTCTGTGGCGGACCAAAACGGGTTGCCGACAGGTGCGGGACGCCTCCCAGATGTTTCCGTCTGATCGCACCCTTAAAATCCACCTGGCCCTCGCGCCTATGGCGGGGCTCATTCTGCATGCGATGGCGCCCTCAGACTGGTAGTGGCTCTCCAAGGTCTCAGGCAGAGGTCTTACACCTTCTCACCGGAGATGCCCGGTATTGAACCTGGGACCGCCTGCATGGCAAGCAGCGGCTCTACCATTGAGTCATGCCGCCGCCACCATCATTACGCCATCATCATTATGTCACCATCGTCACCATCTTTCTATCTACGCCCCCCTCATTAGTCCCGCCAATTGACCATCTTCAGAGCGGGAACTATTGGGGGTGCGAGACGTGCCTGGCAGAGGTCAGCGCTGTATGGACGTATATTGTTGCTGCCATATTTATTGTTATAACTGTGGCTTGGTTGCTAATAATTTTAGAATCCCATCTGGAACTTTTATAGTTAAATAATTTTGGAGCACCGTTAAGTAAATTTTAGTGGAACTGTATCTATTGTATTTTATATTATTCTGCACTGTTTTAATGTTTTAACTTGGGCATTCGTGCCCCTTGTGAGCCGCCCTGAGCCTTCGGGGAGGGCGGGGTATAAATTTAAAAATAAATAAATAAATAAATGCCCCCTCCTCTCCTTGCTGACTCGGTTCCGGTAACGCTGCCCGAGGTTTTAACCCCTGGAGCAATTCTCTCTGACGAAAAGTCTCGTGGCGGTGAGGAGGCCAGGTAGCAGACCTGGCACTGAGTCCGTCCAAGTGAAGCAAAGCTCTCCCGCCATTCTGGCCCGGCGAGTCAGCGGGGGCCCCAAAGAAGCTCTCAGCAAAGGGGAAGGGGGAATGGCGCAGCCACAAACCACTTTCCTCTGCAACTCTTCCAGGGGGCACACAAACGCTCAGGACCGAGGCATCCCCTTACGTGGAAGGGAAACCCGCCCTCTTACGGTATACACCCCCAAAAAAGGTGCTGCTGGACTCAGAATCTAGCGCTGGCTGCTTTCCGGCATCCCTCACCTCTTCGTCTTCGTCCTCAAACAGAGAAAGCGGTGCTTTGGTGGTACCTTTGCTGGGTAAGCCCGAGCTTTTGGAAGACTGGCTGGCAGAAAACAGGTCCTGCGGCATGCAAAGAAATCGGTTACTAATTTCCAAGGAGCGTTTCCCTTTATTTAAAAGGTAAAGGTTCCCTTGCTCGAAAGCCAGTCGAATCCGGCTCTAGGGTTGCGGTGCTCATCTCCGTTTCAAAGCCGAAGAGCCAGCGCTGTCCGAAGATGTTACCGCGGTCATGTGGCCGGCATGACTAAACACCAAGGCGCACAGAATGCTGTTACCTTCCCACCGAAGAGGTACCTATTGATCTACTTGCAATTTCTTGCTTTCGAACTGCTAGGTTGGCAGGAGCTGGAACTAGAGACGGGAGCTCACTCCGTCATGCGGCACACTCGGGTCTCGAACTGCTGAACTACCGACCTTCCACAGCCTGCAGTTCAGCGTCTTAACCACTTGAGCCACCGCAGCTCCCTTTATTCAGGTAAAGGTTTCCCTTGCTTGAAAGCCAGTCGAGTCCGACTCTAGGGTTGTGGTGCTCATCTCCGTTTCCAAGCCGAAGAGCCAGCGCTGTCCGAAGACGTTTCGCTGGAGGCTTGGGGGGGGGAATTGACAAGGGTTTACTCCTTTACTCCATTTAAGCCCTACCTTCCTCCCCAGTGGGACCCCCCAAGCTTCCAAGACTCATCTCCCCATACGCAGTAGTCACGCAGTCTCAGCCTAAGCTTAACTCTCAGGATGGTTCCCTGAGAGGTCGCTTAGACCGAGACTGTGTGACCGGCCCAAGGTAAATGGGCAAGCTTACGTGGCAGGGTGTAGATTCGAACTTGGGTCTCGCAGATCTTAGTCCAGCCCTCGAACCACTACATCACGCTGGCTCTTGAGTTTCTTCCTCAGACCTCCTACCCTTCCCGAAACACACCGGGGGATCAAAAGGGTTCCCATTCCCACCCTCCATCGCTGCTGTGTGCGTCTGTGCTGTCAGACTACTAGTCTGACTGCATCACACATTAGACCTCTTCTGCTACTGGACCGCGTTGCTTTATAACTCCACAATCTGCCTGGAGTCTCACCCAGAACGGCGGACTGGACTGGAGGGATAAAGCACGATGCTAAACCAGAACAGGAATTAAAACCAATTTTTAATGGTTTGCCTCCTGGATAAGAGTCTTTAATTTCCCTCAATGTGGATAATATGAAGGTACTAACAACATGAGCAAGATATAACAAGTTACTCATAACTTACTCATACGTTACTCATACGGACTGAACTGGAGGGATAAAACACACTGCTAAACCAGAACAGGAATTAAAACCAATTTTTAATGGTTTGCCTCCCAGATAAAAGTCTTTAATTTCCCTCAATGTGGATAATACGAAGGTACTAACAACATGAGCAAGATATAACAAGTTACTCATAACTTACTCATAAGTTACTCATACGGACTGAACTGGAGGGATAAAACACACTGCTAAACCAGATCAGGAATTAAAACCAATTTTTAATGGTTTGCCCCCTGGATAAGAGTCTTTAATTTCCCTCAATGTGGATAATACGAAGGTACTAACAACATGAGCAAGATCGAACAAGTTATAACCACAGCTTAATTAATTAAAAATCCTCTCAACCCTCCAACCAGAACTATCTGATTTATTTAAAGCATTTCTCTCACCTTTGCAGTTCAGCATGTCCCCCCCGGGGCATATAGTCATTTACAAATAAGAAGACAACATGCAACAAAGCAGGGGTCCCCAACGTGGGGGCCACGGGTGCCATGGCAACTACCAGCACCTTTCTCGGGTGTTGTCAAGTCTTCATAGAAAATGGGTGGGGCCAGGGGGGGCTTTTGCCCAGCAAAACTTCTAATTGGCCATTGAAGATTTGATTGGCTGTGCAGATTTTTTTTAAAAAACGTTGCTTTGGTGGCAGCTGCCATCACACCACAAGGATTTTCACTGTGTGATTGGAGGTAACCTGTGGCAGCCATTTTGTGGCTGGCTTCAGCCCCTAAGAAAACCATTTTGTGGAAGCCTTCACCCCCTTAGGCAGCCGTTTTGTGGCTGGCTTCACTCCCTTAGGCAGCCGTTTTGCAGCTGGCTTCACCCTAGGGTTGCCAAGTCAAAATTTCGCCGGAGCGGAGAACTCCCCGCTGGCGGCTGGAGGGTGGCTGGAGCGCGCGCGCTGCACGCACGTCACCCGGACGTGACGTGACGATGCCAGGCACGCTGGGGGCGGGGCCACAACCATCCAAGGGAAAACCATAGTATTTTCCCTCGGATGACCGTGGTCCCACCCCCAGCATGCCCGGCGTCGTCACATCACTTCCGGGTGACGCGCACGTCGGGGTGGGGTTCCCCCCGGGGTCCGATCCGCCGCCGGCGGGGAACAGGCCTCTGGGGCGGGGGTTGGCAAGCCTACTTCACCCCCTTTGGCAGCCATTTTACAGCTGGCTTCACTCCCTAAGGCAGCCATTTTGCGGCTGGCTTCACCCCCTAAGGCAGCCATTTAGTGGCTGGGCCTGCCACACTGCTAGCACTTTATTTTGTTTGAATTTTAATATTAACATTGTATTTATTAATGTATGTGATTTTACTACGATGTTTTATGTGAATTTTACTTGTTTGTAAGCCGCCCTGAGCCGGCCTTGGTCGGGAGGGCAGGATAAAAATTTAATTAATTAATTAATTAATTCCAAGAGGGCCCACGGGCTCAAAAAGGACGGGGGACTGCTGTGTTAGATAATCAGTTAACGGGCAGTCAAAGGCCACTCGGGTTCCCGCCATAATAAAAAGCTGACTTTCAATAACCAAAAGACTCTTTTAGGACTTTAAAACATTCAGGCACAGACTCAAGACATAGCGGCTGGCTAAGAAACTGAGCAATTAAACTGTATACAGAAGTTGGTAAGCGAAGGCGATCTGGCAGAGATAACTGATCCAGTTAAAAACTCACTTCAGAATCTTCCTCATCGGAGAACAGGCTTTTGTGGTCTTTGGGAACAGTCGGCGTCGACGGCTTAAAGCTCTGAGCAGAAGGTGGCTGACTCTGAAAGGCAAGCGTAAGAGAAGTTAGAGGCCCACTGCTAAGGCAAGACATGCGGAGCAGGCTCCTGTGGAGTTACTGCTGTCCTCTGCAAAGCCCTTTTTGCCAAACAAAGGAGGTAGTGAAAGGCCAAGACTAATTCTACCCATGACTCGTGGGTTCTGCTTCTAATAGGAGACTGTAATGTGAGGGGTAAAGAGAGTGGGGAACCGCAGGGATCAGAACTTGGTCCACTGCTTTTTAACTTGTTCATTAATGATTTGGAGTTGGGAGTAAGCAGTGAAGTGGCTAAATTTGCGGATGATACGAAGTTGTTCAGGGTGGTGAAAACCAGTGAGGATTGTGAGGCACTCCAAAGGGTGGGCGAGTGGGCGTCAACATGGCAAATGGGGTTCAATGTGGCCAAGTGCAAGGTGATGCACATTGGAGCCAAAAATCCTAAATATACACGTTGATGGGGTCTGAACTGGCAGAGACTGATCAAGAGAGAGATCTTGGAGTTGTAGTAGATAACTCACTGAAAATGTCGAGACAGTGTGTGACTGCAATAAAGAAGGCCAATGCTATGCTGGGGATTATTAGGAAGGGTATTGTAAACAGATCAGCCAATATCATAATGCCCCTATATAAATCAATGGTGAGACCTCATTTGGAATACTGTGTGCAATTCTGGTCACCACACCTTAAAAAGGATATTATAGCTTTGGAAAAAGTGCAGAAAAGGGCAACTCGAATGATAAAAGGGTTGGAACACTTTCCCTATGAGGAAAGGTTAAAGCGCTTAGGGCTCTTTAGCTTGGAGAAAAGACGACTGAGGGGTGACATGATCGAGGTTTATAAGATTATGCATGGGAAAGAGCAGGTAGAGAAAGAGGTACTTTTCTCCCTTTCTCACAATACAAGAACCCGTGGGCACTCCATGAAATTGCTGAGCGGTCGGGTTAGAACGGATAAAAGGAAGTACTTCTTCACCCAAAGAGTGATTAACACTTGGAATTCACTGCCACAGGAAGTGGTGGCGGCTACAAGCATGGACGGCTTCAAAAGGGAATTAGATAAGCATATGGAGCAGAGGTCCATCAGTGGCTATTAGCCACAAGGTATAGATAGGGACTCTGGGGCAAGTGATGCTCTGTCATCTTGGTGCTTGGGGGGGTCAACAGTGGGAGGGCTTCTAATGTCCTGGCCCCACTGGTGGACCTCCTGAGGGCACCTGGTATTTCTGGCCACTGTGTGACACAGAGTGTTGGACTGGATGGGCCACTGGCCTGATCCAACATGGGCGTCTCTTAGGTTCTTATGTTCTTAGATTCCGATGAGTAGCCGTGTTGGCCTGAAGCAACAGAGCAAAGCTGCAGTCTAATGGTGTCATCTTTAAGATCAACCATGTTTTATTCTAGGTATAAGCTTCCGTGTGCATGCACCCTGCTGGATCAGATCAGTGGTTCACCTAACAAAATATCCTGTTTCCCCACATAGGGTTGCCATCTCTGGGTTGGAAAATTCCTGGAGATTTGTGGGTGGAGCCTGTGGGGGGGTACAGGGTGTGGGGAGGGCAGGCAGCCCAGGGCGGCACAGATTGCCTTGAAGCACAAGGAAAGGCAGGGTATAAATGTTCTAGTGACAGTCAGTGTTCCCTCTAAGCTGAGTCGGTGTGAGCATTTTTGTCTCCGCTCAGGAAGGACGGCTCAGGAGCGAACTAATTTTTGCAGCAGCCAAATCGCTCGCTCACAGCTTTAATGCCAGTGGCTCACAAAGTAGAATTTTTGCTCACAAGACTCCGCAGCTTAGAGGGAACATTGGTGACAGTAATAAAATAAATATAGAAAGCGGCCATTCTCTCCGGGGGAACCAATGTTGGTCATCTGGAGATCTGCTGGTGTTCTATTTGGGCCTCAATTAGTGTGATCAGGGGTCATTTCATAGAAAAAGAGGTGCAGGAGCTCATTAGACATGAACGTTGAACTTCACAACACTGTGGACCATGAGGCCAGGCCTTCCAAATCTGTCCCACTCACCATCGGCTGCTCCAGACAGCAGAGACCCCCCCCCCAAGGCACCCCGCGCATTGCCAAAGCTTCCTGACTTTCCTCCAGTATTTGGCAGCCCAGCCTAACAGCCACCGCCTCCCACCCTCTCAGCATCAACTGGCAGAGGTACTGAAGTTGAAGAACAAGACGCTTTGCCTCTTTGTGCCCACCCGAATGAGAAGGAAAACAGGGATCGAGGAGTAACCTGACTTGCAGGGTTCTTTTTGTAGCAGGAGCTCCTTTGCATATTAGCTGACACACCCCTAATGTAGCCAATCCTCCAAGAGCTTACAGTAACCCCTGTGAGAAGAGCTCTGTACGCTCTTGGAGGATTGGCTACATTAGGGGTGTGTTGCATAATATGCAAAGGAGTTCCTGCTACATTCCAGCATAAGCTTTTGGGAGTCGGAGCGGTGGCGCGGGGGATTTTTCCCTGCCTAACAATAACATCTGAACTGCCATGCTTTGATATATGATATATGTTTGCACAGAGGTTCGCTTGGTGTGAGCAACCAAGCCTCGTCCTAGCTCATCGCCTACCCAGCGATTCGAAAGCTTCGGCGAGTAGATAAATCGGGGACCACCCGTAAGGGGGTGAGCACTCCCCTCCCTCTGGGAAGGCGTAGCTGCCGAGTGCAACTTCTGAAGGCGCGGCGAGATCGAAAGAGGAAAGAGCTGTGTCGGCTTCCCTGCAGTGGAGCGAGTCGGCCAGGCGGTGGCAGTGTGTGGCTGCACAACATCAAGCCCTGACCTCATCAGCCAGCCGACGAGATGCCGTAGGAACACGACTGACCCAGCCCGCAGATGAAGCCCGGCTAGCTGCAATGTGTGTGTAATTAATGCTGCATGTTTGTCTTCCCTATCCCCACAAATATTGTTAGTCCAACTGTCTCAAGAGTAACTGTAAATCGCTCTGAGCCCGCAGGTATGTGGGAAAGAGCGATCAATAAATCGAAAGCAAAAAAAAAGAAAAAAGAGCTCACTTCATTACAGGCATTATGGGTAAGGAGTCACTTCTCTGCAACACACTGATATATGTTTGCTGAAAGATCTTGGGGTACACCCTTGCACACTAGGGCAAACGGGAACGCTAAGGCAAAACCCAGCTTCATCGAAGCAGGGGGGCTCAGGGCAATACCTTGTCTCTTGCCACGGTTCCTTTACTTCCTTCGACTTCTTGAGGGACATCCTTTACCGCCCTGCCAGCGTCCGGCTTTGCCTTGAACAGGTCTTCTTCGACGTCACCAAAGAGGTCAGCGGCAGATTTGGCTGTTTCAGGGGAAAGGCACAGAGGTTCGCTTGAGGACCAAGGCAGCAGCCACGCAAGACCGGGGCGGGGGGGTGCAAGAGGGAGAAGTACAATCAGGGGAGGTCTTCAGACCTTGCTTTTATGCTTCGTGTATTATGTTTCTACCCCTAAAAATGTAAGAACGTAAGAAGAGCCCTGCTGGATCAGACCAGCGGTCCATCTAGTCCAGCATCCTGTCTCACACAGTGGCCAAAAAAGAAAGGGAAGGAAACCTCACAGTAAATAATGACAACCAGAACAGGAACTGTGAAAGGTAGATGCTAGAGATGACGATACGTCTATCAGGGCTCTACTGGTAGTAGGAGCTCCTTTGCATATTAGGCCACACACCCTAGTGTAACCAATCCTCCAAGAGCTTACAAAGCTCTTCTTACTGGGGCTACTGTAAGCTCTTGGAGGATTGGCTACACTAGGGGTGTGTGGCCTAATATGCAAAGGAGCTCCTGCTACCAGTAGAGCCCTGCGTCTATTTTGTAGAATAAAAACGATATACTTGCATCTAGTAGTACACAATATAGTACACTGCTCAATACACAAGCTGAGGACAGGTTTACAGTAAATTCAAATAGTATTCAACAATGAAGTACTAATCAAGTTCTACAGTGAAATCCTCAACGAAGATTCTGGATATGAGCTTTGTTTCAATCAACTTCCTCGCAAGTACACGTATACTGCTAAAGTTTTCATTCATTTATCCCAGGAATCAATTTTGTAATCCTCAATCAATTTTCAAAGAGTCCAATATAATCCCATGAGATTTACAAAAATGGGCAACCAGTCACAGTGTTCAAACCAGCAACTCTGTGACCTCACTAAGCTTATATTGCGATTCTTCGTTGAGCATTTCATTGTAGAACTTGATGAATACTTCATTGTAGAGTACTATTTGAATTTATTGTAAACCTGTCGTCAATTTGTGTCTTGAGCATTGTACTATATTGTGTACTGTTGTTGTTGTTCAGTCGCACAGTCGAGTCCGACTCTTCGTGACCCCATGGACCAGATCACGCCAGGCCCTCCTGTCTTCCGCCGTCCTCTGAAGTTGGCTCAATTTCATGTTTGTTGCATCGATGACACTGTCTAACCATCTCATCCTTTGCCGTCCCCATCTTCTTTGACCTTCAATCTTTCCCAGCATCAGGGTCTTCTCCAGTGAGTGCTCCCTTCTCATTGGGTGGCCAAAGTATTTGAGCTTCAGTTTCATTATCTGGGCCTTCCAGGGAACAGTCAGGGTTGATTTCTTTTAGGATTGACTGATTTGTTCTTCTTGCAGTCCAAGGGACTCTCAAGAGTCTTCCCCAGCACCATAGTTCAAAAGAATCTATTTTTCGGCGCTTGGCCTACTTTATAGTCCAACTCTCGCAGCCATACATGACTACCGGGAATACCATTGCTTTGACCATGCGGACTTTTGTTGGCAGGGTGATGTCGTTACTTTTTATCATGCTGTTTAGGTTCGCCATCGCTTTCCTCCCAAGGAGCAGGCGTCTTTTAATTTCATGGCTGCTGTCACAGTCTGCGGTGATCTGGGATCCCAGGAACGTGAAGTCTGTCACTACTTCCACGACTTCCCCTTCTATTTGCCAAGGAGTGATGGGGCCGGATGCCATGATCTCAGTTTTTTTGATGTTGAGCTTCAAGCCCACTTTTGCGTTCTCCTCTTTGACCCTGAGCAAGAGGCTTTATGTATGTACTGTTACATACAAGTATTTCGTTTTTATTCTGCAAAACAGACATACTGTCATCTCTAGCGTCTACCTTTCACAGTTTCTATTCTGGTTATCACAGAGTGGCCGGCCAGTTCCTCCGGAGAGCCAACAACAGGGCATAGAGGCCGAGGCCTTCCCTTGGTGCTGCCTCCTGGCTCTGGGATTTAGAGGCTCAGTGCCTCTGAACGTGGACGTTTCCTTTAGTCACTATGGCTAGGAGCCATGGATAGACCACTCCGTGAATCTATCTAATCCCCATTTAAAGCTCTCTATTCCTGTGGCCATCACGACTTCTTCGGGCAGCGAATTCCACGTTTTAATCGCTCTCTGTGTAAAGAAATATTTCCTTTGCAAGGTTGTAAACGAGACAGATGCATTTAGGAAAACTTACGGCCCTTCTGAAAAGTTAAGATGGAGGGTGCGGTGGTGCAGGGGATTTTTTCCCCTGCTTAACTATAACATCTGAACTGCCAAGCTTTGGCAGTTCTAGCCCCATGCTGGTGTGAGCAACCAAGCCTTGTCCTAGCTCATCGTCTACCCAGCGATTCGAAAGCTTCGGCAAGTAGATAAATTGGGGACCACCAGTAAGAGGGTGGGCACACCGCTCCCTTCGGGAAGGTGTTAGCTGCCGAGTGTGACTTCTGAGGTGCGGCAGATCGAAAGATGAAAGAGCTGTTTTGGCTTCCCTGCAGTGGAGCGAGTCGGCCAGGCGGTGGCAGTGTGGCAGCATGACATCAAGAAGCCCTGACGTCATCAGCCAGCCAACAAGAATGCATGCCGTCGGAATACGACTGATCCAGCCCGCAGATGAAGCCCCGGCTAGCTGCAATCTGTGTGTAATTTAAAAAAAATGCTGTATGTTGTCTTCCCTATCCCCCACGAATATTGTTAGTCCAATTGTCAAAGAGTAACTGTAAATCGCTCTGAGTCCGCAGGTGTGTGGGAAAGAGCGATCAATAAATCGAAAGTATAAATATAAAAAAATAAATATAGGGTAGCTCCTAGTCAAGCGTACCCGGTCATATATCCAGATTTGCTAACGCATAACGTGTGGCCCTTTTAACAGAAATGAAATGCAGCAGAAGACTCCCCTCCCCCCCCCCCCCCTTCACCTCCAGGCCGAGAAAACCTTTCTACATTTCTTCAGGAGGGTAGCCATGTTAGTTTGTAGCTGCAGATAAAAGTTTGAGTCCAGCGGCACCTTGAAGACCAGCATGCACATAAAATGCCCAGAATAAAACTTTTTGGTTGGTCTTAGAGGTGCCCCTGGACCCAACAAAGCTGTTCCAGAAAGCAACTATCTAACTGCAAAAGGGGTGACTGGGGGCTACGGTTACGGCCGCTTTCCCCCAGTGCTCTGGCACCAAGCTGGCAAAAAGCAACTATCTAACTGCAAAAGGGGTGACTGGGGGGACACGGTTACTGCCGCTTTCCCCCAGTGCTCCGGCACCAAGCTAGGTGGACCCACACAGGACCAGAAAAGGAGACTTCTCCGAAAGAAGGGGAGGGCAAAGAATGAAGGAAACTTGACCGGAGCCGCTTACTTGAAACAGGGTCACTCCTTCTGACCTGGAAGTCATCGTCATCGAACAGGCTGACACCAGGTTGTTGTTTGGGAGTTTTCCCTGCGGCTGGTTCCGCCGCCTTCTTCTCTTCTTTCTCTGTGAGAAGTGAGGAGGGGCTAAAGACATCGGTCCCACCTGCAAAGAAAGAGGAACGTAGACTCCCAACTTTGCACTTTGCACTGGCGCTCCTACAGCGGACAATAAGTTCTGGGTTTCGTGATCAGTACTGATCAGCAAGCCCAGAATGACCCATTACCTTGCCTTGGTGAATCCCAGGATAGCTGCCTGAAGACTGTTGCTTACCCATTTCCCCCCCATCCCTTAGAGTCATGTACTTGACCCCCAATCTCCTTATCAAGGGGCTGAATAGTTCTTAAACAGGGCCACCTTCTAAGGAGGGCTGTAATTAATAAACGATTAAGTGTTGTCAAGTCACAACCGACTCATGGCGCCTTCTCACGGGTTTTCAAGGCAAGGGACATTCAGAGGTGGTTTTGCCATTTATCTGTCTCCATGTACAATCTTAAGGGCGACGGTAGCTCAATATGTAAGAACGTAAGTTCAAGACCCGAGTTGCTTTGAGTCTCAAAAGTCTGTGCCCAGAAATTCTCCTTGGTCTCGAACGTTGTACTGGAGTTAAATCCAGCTCTTCCAGGGGTCGTTTAGCTTTTGAGCCAGGGAAACCTTTATCTGTACGTTTATGATTTAGGAAAGGATGAAGGTAACTTCAGGCCAGAGACAGCCTCAAATTGCTGGACAATAACTCAGCTACGGGTCTAACGGATAAATCCCGCAGTCTGCCATTTAATAAAGTGAGCTTGGGGGTCCACATATTGACAGAGCAACAAAACCCTACACGAAAAGATCGTGCCAAATCACGGTGCACGTTAACTGCAGTTTAGAACCCAAGCCCTGTTTTGAGTTTTTAAAAATGGACGCTTATCGGAGAGGTTCAATCGTGACGCAGACGCCTGTTCCAGGACAAACTCTCCGTGCACGGAGAGGAACAAGGAGGCAACGCCCGTCACAAAAACGGCGTACCCCTGTCCAGACCGGGCTACAAAACCTGCTGCAGGAGGCAGCAAATAGCTTAAAAACCCCTATTTTATGCCAATTGTGTCTCCTAAGGAGGAGAATTTCGCCCTAGATGAGGCCCACTAGGTTAAGCATACCTGGAAGGAGAAAGACTGCACCGGCGGGAACTTTCCTCACAGCTTTTGACAACGGTTCTAAAAAGCATAAGGTAAATTAAAAGCCAATGGAGCACGCAGAATGTTTATTTCACACGAACTGAATCAGATCCCTGATCTATCAGTCAGTATTGCCCACTCACACTGGCAGCAGCTCTCCAGGGACGCAGGCTGAGGTCTTTCACATCCCCTCCTGCCTGGTCCTTTCAACTGGAGACGTCGGGGATTGAACCTGGGACCTTCTGCATGCCGAGCAGATGCTTTGCCAGTGGGCTACAGTTCAATCAGCTATCAACCAGAATGTATTTTGTACTATAATGTTAAAATGAAAGACTGTGCAGGTGACTGGATGATCAAGTCGGGGGGAAGGGGTTCATGGCCGCTGTCTCTCCCCAGCTCATTGAGTCAACGCACGGGCGGGCCATAAGAACATAAGAGAAGCCTACGTTGGATCAGGCCAATGGCCCATCCAGTCCAACACTCTGTCACACAGTGGCCAAAAATGCCAGGCGCCATCAGGAGGTCCAGCAGTGGGGCCAGGACACTAGAAGCCCTCCCACTGTTGCCCATTCCCCCCCCCCAAGCACCAAGAATACAGAGCATCCCTCGCCCCAGCCCGAGAGTTCCTATCTATACCTTGTGGCTAATAGCCACTGACGGACCTCTGCTCCATATGCTTATCTAATTCCCTCTTGAAGCCGTCAATGCCTGTAGCCACCGTCACCTCCTGTGGCTGTGAATTCCATGTGTTAATCCAATTCCAATGACCTTTATTGGCATAACTCCATGTGTGAATCACTCTTTGGGTGAAGAAGGACTTCCTTTTATCTGCTCTAACATGACTGCTCAGCAATTTCATGGAGTGCCCACGAGTTCTTGTGAGAAAGGGAGAAAAGTACCTCTTTCTCTACCTGCTCTATCCCATGCATAGTCTTATAAACCTCGATCATGTCACCCCTCATCCGTCGTTTCTCCAAGCTAAAGAGCCCCAAGCGCTTTAACCTTTCTTCATAGGGAAAGTGAAAGAGTTTCAGCCCTTTTATCATTCTAGTTGCCCTTTTCTGCACTTCTTCCAGTGCTATAATAGCCTTTTTGAGTTGTGGTGACCAGAACTGTACACAGGGTTATCTGCACAGAGCTATACAGTGTCCAACTGCTGGTCTATCAAGGTCAGTATCGTATCCTCTCCCCAAGGTCACATCACCCACAAGCCGATCCTTTTACAGGAGCTGTGGCCGGGGTACTGAACCTGGGATTTTCTGCAACCAACGCAGATCAATTGAATGTATAAAATAAACAAATAAATGTTTGGCCAATGAGGCACGGACCCACCCCAAATGAAAAGGAGGGGGAAATGGCTTTGTAAATCGGATGAAACAAAAGACCTACTAAGGCCCCGGTCACATGGGACAGGTAATGTGGGGAGGAGGTGTGGCTATTTGTGCCGCCGCAATTTAATCTGCCACTACCTGATCTGATGCTGTGGCAGCAGACCGGGGTTGTTTCCGGCGCGCTTCAACGCAGCAAGAAGAGCGCGCTGGAGCGATCAGACGGAGGAGGTCTGTCTGTGGCCCATCGGAAGTTTTTGATAGTGGAGTTCCACAGGTACCTTTTAACTCCGGATCTTCGGCTGGACGGGACAGGCTGGCTACGGGTGCGCGACGCTTGCCAGAAGTGCCCGCTTGATCACGCCCGTAAAACCAGCCCGGCATCCGTGAGTATCCCGCTGCAACTTCTGTGTGTGATCGGAGCCTAAAATTGTCTTATGTGACGAAAAGCAGTTTAACCTGCTAAAGGCTTAAACACAGGCAGGCCGATTCTACTGGGAAGCTTCCAATGAAGCTGATGGGCAGTAGGTTCAGGATGGAAAAAAGGAAATACTACTTTACACTGAGAGGGATGAAAATGTGGGATTGGCTGCTAGAGGATGTCGTGGTGGCCACAGGAATAAACAGCTTTAAAAGGGGACTAAGATTTGTGGAGGAGAGGTCTATCAGTGCCTACTAGCCATGGTGACTGATGGGAACCTCCATGTCCAGAGGCAGTCAACTTTCTCACCGTCATTTATTGGGACGCGTTCCTCTTTCTCTGCCGCATCCACCCCTTTCGGCAATTCGGCGAAGAGGTCGCTCTGGCGGGGGACAGAAAAGAGACTGTTGTGGGCGAGAGACGTTAACGGTGCGCCTGCTGCCACGCCCAAGGGCTGAGAAGGGTCAAAACCAGCATGCGGTTAATGAACGCATTTATTCACAAAATCCTGCCTCCCTGCTCTCACCAAGGGCCACCAAGGCAGTTAACAATTTGAAACATACTGGGGGGAAGATCACATCTGAAAACCGTAATAACAGCCGCTTTTCGTAAGTGAGCTTCATGATACGTGCTGAGAAATGACTTTTCCAAATCTTAATTCGGCCTCAAGGAGAACACTGTTCGGACGGCGGCTCATTTGGCTACGACCCACCTCGTGCGCAGCTAAGGCAACAGAGACATCTCCTCACACAATCTCTGGGAACTGATTGGCTACAACCCTCGCTATGCATTATGGGGATTGTAGGCTGTCTGCTTTCTACTCCAATGGGAACCGAAAGAGGCTGCCCACATCGCTCTCCCCTCCTCTGCCTTATCCAATCAATCAGTTTATTTAGCTCACATGACCAATGGTCTCAAGCACAGGATAATCTCTGCCTTATCCTAACAACGACCCCATAAAGCAGAGGTGTCGAACTTATTTGTTACGAGGGCCGGATCGGAAATAAACAGCATTCTGTCAGGCCGGGCTCCGTGTGCCATGAGATTTAATGCCACGTACCGGAGATGTTTACCACTGGCCGTGACCCACTCCCCTCCTGACTAACCATCCTTTGCTCGATAGGCGCAAGACGTTTTGCACAGCACGGGGAGCTCCCGCCTGACAGTCGAGGTGCAGCAACCAGAGGCTCTTGTGACTCTTTGAAGACGAACACGTTTTAGAAGCTTTTGGTGAGCTGGAGCATGAAGGGCAGCGTTCCACGGCCACGGGTGCGGCAGCCAAAGACGAGTGGCCAAGTGGCACCAACCAGGGGGACCCAACAGAGCCTTGCCTTAAAGAAATTGTTCTGGTCAACAGGCTTAGGGGAGGTGGGGGGGGGGGTGAGGCAGCCACACAATCCCACGCCTGCCTCTGTCAAAGTCCCAAATTCCGCGACAAGCCTGAACCAGAAGGGCAACGACGACCCTCCCCAGCACCCCCCCCAGCAGTCTTCAAGCGCTGCCTGAAAGTGGGGAGCCGCTCGGCTGGACGGGGTGGGTGGGGCCAAAGAGATCCCGCCTGCCTCGCAGGAACGGCCTGCTGTCTTCCCGGCAGCCCAGGCAGGAGCCCGGCGCGCTCTGGCTAGAGGAGGTGGCAGTGGCAGGCAGCGCATCCCAGCCGGCCGGGTGCCTTGGCCAAGGGCGGCAAGGCAGGCCCCAAGGGCAACAGGCTGTGCAGAGCTCAGGGCCAAACCAGCCCTCCTCTCACCCCTTACAGTTGCCAACTCCAGGCTGGGCAATCCCTGGAGATCTGGGGGAAGGCCCTAAGGAGGGCCCGCGTTTGGGGAAGGGAGGGACCTCAGCGGGGGGCATAATACCCTCATCTAGGCCCTTCCAGTCCACATTTGGACTGGTCTCTCACCAGTTGCTCGCAGGCCAGGTAAGAGCCTTGGGTGGGACAGATCGAGATCCGAGTGTGCCGCATGACGGGGTGAGCTCCTGTCTCTAGTTCCAGCTCCTGCCAACCTAGCAGTTCGAAAGCAAGAAATTGCAAGTAGATAAACAGGGACCGCTTCGGTGGGAAGGGAACAGCGTTCCGTGCACCTCGGTGTTTAGTCATGCCGGCCACGTGACCACGGAAACGTCTTCGGACAGCGCTGGCTCTTCGGCTTTGAAACGGAGATGAGCACC